TCCACAACGAAGTTCGTCTGCGGCAAAATGCATGCGAATAAGGGAAATGATTAAATATAATATCAACAAACTGCATTTCAATGTATAAGTAGATTTAGAGACTACCAGTAATTCTGATGAATGAGGTGAAGTCACTTAATTATAAACTGAATCTAAGTAATATAGTCAATGCCTATGCCAAATACAAGCTTGCTTCGACGACAATCCCAAAATATGAATAGTAATTGTTTGACCTTGTTTACGCAACTTGGTCATATTTGGCAGTAAGACCCAGAGGAAAGAACATATTCCGGAGTCCATAATATGCATGATTTGAGAATGATAAGGCTCACTGACGCTTCTGACCACGATACCGGTGAAGCGACTGGGAATATACCAAGTTCACGATCCAAATATGAAATTTATCGTGCATACTATGGACTCTAGATAAGGAGCAATTATCTAGGCCTTCCTACCAATATAAACAAGTTGAGAAAATAAGGTCAAAAAACTACTATACAGCGAAAGGAGACTGCGACCAAAATAGAGGCCACATCATCTTAGTCTTCGTATCTAACATTTATTTCTTCCCTGTGACCCAAGGGCACAAGTGGCAACTTGACGTAATGGTCAATGATGACAAAATTCTCTCAATAGCCGGTGGGAATCTGACAGGAAAGTTGATCAGGCCCAATGAAAGGGAATCATTTAAATGTCCTGTATATCTGATGTAACAAAAGATGTGCATACCTTCATGGGGAATTCCATGCAACAGCAGCGGTAGGCCATGCCTTATGCAACCATATCATGCAGTTTTGCAGAGGTAAATGACCAAGTCTGTGCAAGGAAAAAAGCCACATGTATCATGTACCCTGTGACCTTTAGAAACCTGGCTAATGCTGCGTTTTGGGGGTAACATAATTGCACAAAAGAAAATATAATAATAACAAGGCTCCCTAACATTCTGTCTAGCAGATTCTCTCTATATGCATCATCGACTTCCGGCAAAATTCTTAAGTTTACCCATCGAGAACGGCGCATCACTCATGCAGCATTGCTTTCACTTTCACATCAACCTCCTCAAACCGTACACCATAGATGACTGGCTTTTGGTAGGCCATCCTTTATACATGGTACATGAGATTATCCGGAATAATTAGGCCTAATTATGGTAAAATAAACCAAATTTTTCTTGTCTGTCTTGACACTTCCTTTCGAAGGAAAAGTTAGCTGAAAAGAATAGGAACATTTGTCTTACCGGAAACAGGAATGAAGACTAATGGATTGTGCAAACAAGTCCTCGACCCATCGTCCTGTGACCTCGGACTCTGGACCGAAGAATTCTTCGCACAATCCCAAAGTCTTCACTCCACCGTTATCAATTCAACTTCGGTTTCTGGTAAGACCATCCCACGAATTCCTTCCACACAAATTCATTAATAAAATCTTGGAAACCCAGCTTTATGTAAAAATCATATACGAAGAGAAACGGGGTTTCGATGAATCTCCTGAGATAACATTGTTGGGGGGACATATAAAAGCCAAACGGCTGCAATACCAGGTGATTCAGCCGTCCTCATCTGGTGAGATCGACCTACGAATATCTTCTTCATGCACTTTCATACTAAATTAAAGTCCCCCCAACAAAAATCATATAGACGCATTTTGAAATTTCTCTAAAGCTCACCTAATCCAAGTTTCAGTCTTCCAAAATACATAGTTGCGTTCACGGCTGTCACAACATTACTATAGGAAAATAATGTTTGTCTCTATTGACTGAAGCCTAATAAATAAAGTAGAAAATGATTAAGTGAGTTGGAGAGAAAGCTAATTGTTAGTCGAACTATCTAGCGTATTGGCAAATAGATCACTTAAGGGGTGAGCAATAAGCTGAATAATTCAGTCAGCCCTTTGGTATGGTTATAAATAAACCAGTTATTGATAAAATAAATTAATTATTGATCGAGTCAATGAACGAGTCTTTGTGACAAATATTTACTGGGCAAACATGCCAATGGATGAGGGAGCAAATGGGTCTTCAAGGGAATTTACGGTGTGTAAACGAATTGGTCAATGATAGTCTGAACAAACAGACATGCGTTTAAAGGCTACGTAGGGAACGTAAGTGAACAATGCACAAAAGACTTGATGAATGTAAAAGCATGTCGACTGAGCGTATATGAGTGTGGACGCATCAACGAATGGCTAGCCAAAAAATGCCTTGAATGGCTAGATTTATTGAATTCATACAGTCGCTGTATGGCTTGAATGAAAATCGAAGCAAAATTATTACTGGTTTGCAGAAGTCTGTTGTTATGCAAAAAAGATACTGTATTCTCGACTCTTAAGGCTATTTTAAATGCGTAATTTGGCTATCTTCCTTTAGGGTATCAAAATCCTCTCGATAGTTCTATAAAAGTGACTTATATTCAAACCCGTGGTCAATGCGTTTTGAACGCCTTTGGACAATACATATTTGCCCCCATACTGGAAGGGGTATGAAAAACCTTATTATATTTTCATTTCATTTGACATATATCTTCTAGCAAAGATGAGATTGGTCTAAACTAGACGTTGATTAGAGATAGATCAAGGGGAAATTTTATGTTTAAATGTTGATTGACAGTACCAATGCATCTATCGATAAAAATGAGTGCGCAATGCAAGAGACCCTATTCATATACGACTTGTCCACTGAGGAGAACTAGAAATCTATAGGGTTGAGGAAATAGTTGCACCAAAACTGGACGAGCTCACTGACAAAATTCCCAACTGCCAATGCCGAATCTTCTAAAAGGCAAGGAAAAAAGCAGAATGTACGCTCATTTCACTTACCGATGACATTTCGCTCCAGATCTACCATTATAGCCCTCGGTACATAGGCCTGCTTGGTTTCGTAAAAGAGACAATCCATGTTCTCGAGCTCATTGAAGCTTCCATCGCCTGGTTTCGGATGACTGCTGTGCTGGCCAGTTGGGGATAATTGATGTTCGAGGCAGAAGAGCTCCCATAAAGCGGAGCCCATTTGTACGCCGGCCTGGCCGATATGAACTAACATTATTTCGCGACCCATTTTGATCTTCTGACGGGCTTACTCGAGCTGATGTTTACCTGATTAAGAAAATTAACAAATAAAGCAAGATGATGAATAGTTTAGACAAGTCTTACAATCTGAAATGTAGTAAATAAATAACCATCTTTGGCCTACAACTGACCTGAGGGCAAGAGAAGCCTGGGCTTACGCGAACCGATATCCACCTCAGAGTCAGTGGCTGATTTTGATACTGGACTGCAAAATAGCATCACAGGTCGATAGAACTTATCGATCAAAGGCAGTTTCAAAAAACCCTTCAGGCCGGTCTCAGACCCGATGAGGAGAGTTGAAATTCACTCTGCCACATTTGCAACATATTTTACCTGAGCCCTCTGAGTATGTATAACTACTTAAGTAGGCAAAAACAAAATATATATTTGATACAATCTTGTTTATTTTTATGAACTTAATCAACCTCTATTCAATAAGGCGATCTAGCACCACATCTCCATGATTAAGATTCAGAATGCTATTAAATTGCACTTATATTGGTTTGTGAGTAGCCTTTTGAGAACATCAGTAGCTTTGAAATAAGAACTCTAGTCAGTATAGGTCGCTTAAGGCGCTTTAAGG